TTATTATTATTATTAATTTTTCTCCATTCTCTATATCTCTTTCTATATGTCCGCCTCTATTTCTCTCCCTTCGTTTCGATCTTTTTCTCTATCTCTCTCCCACTCCAATATATATATCATAGATTTATCAACTTTTTCTTTTTCCATCTCTATTTGCCTTTGTCTGTTCCCATCTCTCTGGCTCATTTCTATTCTTTTCATGCTTTCTCTTTCTGCTTCTATATAGTTTTTCCACTATGGAGCTTCTTCTACATTTCATTCAAAGTCTCTTTTGCTTTTTGTAAAAGTTGGAGCTGTCTTTTTTCTACACTCTATTATAGCTGTCTCTTTCTCTTTCTTGATATCTAGATCACTAACTTTTTTTCTGTCTCTCTTTCTCTGTCTCGCACTCTCTCTCTCTCTCTCTCTCTCTGTCTTTCTCTCCTTATACCCTTTATACATTTTCTCTTCTACTCTTCTCTCTTTCTATTAGTTTCCCTTTTCAAGCACTCTCCATCCCTCTTTCTCTCTCTCTCTCTCTCTCTCTCTCTCTCTCTCTTTCTCACACCTATACTTGAACTTTTGGGCGCATTTTCTACTAATTAAGTTCTATTTCTTCCCGTCATCGAACGCAACTTTTCCATCTGCACTGCAACCACTCTGCACCGACCCCCGTCTCCAATGCCTCTACGCTCCGTGCTCCACGCTCTTCTCCCTCCTCTCACCTTCCCGCTGCATCGCTCCACATTTGTAATGAAATCATTTCAGTTCATTGGCGCTCCCCTTGTAACAAAGTTTGTTGTTGTTGTTGCTATTGCTTGTGCGTTGTTTTTTTTTCTTGACTTTTGTTTTTTTCGCTTTTCTGAACGCATTTTTTTTTTTGCAGATTGCACAATTTTCTGTTCTGTTTTCAGTTCAGTAATTTTGAGTTTGTTGTTGCCTCTTGCTGTTGTTGTTGTTGTTGTTGTTATTGTTTGTTGTTAATACAAATTGATGTTGATCTATTTGTTGTTGTCTTTGTTGTTCCTATGTTTATCATTGTTGCCGACCGCTGATTGCTTTTTAGAAAGTGTGAAAGAGTTTTGTATCATATGCACTCTTGATTATACATATATAGACATAGATATATATAGGTATCTATGTAAATATATATGGGCAGTTCAGTTCAGTTTTGCATTGGAATTGTGTGCAGTCGGTGCGTACCTTTAATTGAGGTAGGTAATTATTGATTGGTTTCGTTTTATTCTGGGAAAGGGCGAAAGCGATTAGCAACTGCTGTGTGATTGAATGTGAGTCAAGCTGAGCTTAAGAGCTAGGCAAAATCGAAAAAGAAATGGTCTCAGCTTGGTTACAGCTTTCAATAATATATACAAATAAATTAAAAAATAGTTAAAATTATAATAATTGTATTTTTATTGTAGTAAAGTAGTATTACAAGAATAGTAAAATAACATTATATAAGTCATTTTATAGGCTCAGTTACAGAGATAAAGAAGGCAAGTAACAGTGAGTCTTTATTAGTAGTGCTCGACCGCAAGGTATCCATAATCCACTAACACTAATAAGCAATGTACTTAATATTGCTTAATAAAATATCCGTATATTTACTAGAGCTGCGCTCTGCCCAAGTGATCAACAGGAAATAGGGCTCCGAACTGAAGAGGCTCTGCAGAAGGCCTGCTTTTATATACGAGTGATCCCTCTCAAACAGAGCCGGTAAACATTGAGTGATAACTCATTCAAGGTTACGTTATTGTAGAGAATACTTCTGCTCACACACTTTAACAACGGCTCTTTAGCACTGTAGTCTCCTCTTTCATGGAACCTCCTTTAGAGACCCGCTCTTTCAATAAGAAATATTTAGGCAGACAGAGAGACAGACAGATGTTGAGTTCTACATACTATTACGGCGTCAAATATAAGCCGAATTGATCCTTTAAAAAATATATATGTATATGTCTTTTCGACTCAACACATGCTTACAGCAAATTTGGCGCACTAAGCAAAGCACAGTAAAGTCCAGATGTTTGTTGTCTAACAAATCAATTATTAATTTCCCAAATAAATTTTCTCCTATTCTATTCGTTTCAAAGAAATTTTACATATTTTTGTTGTATATTTTTAAGCTTAAGAAATAATAGAAAATAATTCATTAAATTAAAATTTCAAAACT